TGTTAGTCTACTTATTAGCCACCCACCGAAGAAAGATAGCAAGCCTAGCCAAACGAGTAGTCTGTTCCACGCCAGAAGAAGACACTAGGGTAGCAGTCAACGCAACTCAAGTGGTTCCACCCTCGAGTTCCTTCTAAGGGTGGAGGAATTATGTATGGGAACATCATAAGCTACCATGTTCTCACGGGATATGCTGAGACCGCTGACGGATGCAGAATCAGTTTACACTTTGCAGGAAACGAGACGTTCACCGACTAGTTCTCATCAGATTTGACATAGACTTCACACAGTAAAGACGCATTGTAATTTTCTCTCTAATAAAACTTCGACATTTTTGTGTTCAATAAATAAATTCATTTTTTAAAAAGCTTTTGGTGATAACCAAAAACATAAAGCTACTGAAGAAGATGAGATGAAAAATTACTATGCAAACTTCTATTTCGGGTCAAATATCTCGATAACTGTTTATTTTAGCTCAGTTGAAGATGATGCAGTTTTTCAAGATAGTTGAACAATCAATTCGAGAAATTGGAAATAATCGAAATTTCATCAGTGGCGCAGAAAATATGGGAGGAAAAGTTATCACAACCCTCTGTAGGACACCTCTCTGGGTCGTGAAATTGTCGGAATGTCTTCCTGGTCAAAAAATTAATCGATGAAAGATGGATCCATATACCGAATTTGAATGCATTATATTTTCAATGTTCCTTATCTGAGATACTGCGAAAAACCTATTCAAATTTCTTAACTTCAACGCCCTCTGTATCTCGAGAACTGAACACTTGAGGACAGTATGTCCCTATCTCAGTGATAATGAAATCACAATGGCTATATCACCTGTCAAGCGTTGCCGGTCGAATTTCGCAACACCCTGTATATATAATCTTAACTTCTGATTGATTATGTCTACTGACATTTGGTTTTGGAACAGATACAGAGGGTGATCAGAATTCTGATTCTTGAATAACCTCATTGAATTTTGGTATTATGAAAGCTATTACAGGATAAAAATTAGCAATGGAAAACGACAAATATAATATTTCTAATGTCAACACCTTTAATATCGAAAACTTAGCTCCAAATAAATTAAAAGTAAAAAAAAAACTTTTCAATAAAAAGAAGAAAATGAAATTTTTCTTGATAACTTTTTAACTATCAACTTATAACCTCATTATACACAATTTATATGATCATAAAAGTTGTCGCGCGATTCACTTGTGTGAATGAATTAGTACTTATTTAATTATGTGAAATCTGCTGAGATAAAATTTTTAAAATTACAATTTGATTAAATATTGATCATCGCGACAAGCTTTTATGATCATATAAATTGTGTATAATGAGGTTATAAGTTGATAGTTGAAATTATTAAGAAAAATTTCATTTTCTTCTTTCTAGAGCGTTTAAATAAAAGCTTTTTATTAAAAAGTTATATTTACTTTATTTATTATTTTACTCTCAACGAGCCTTTTCATTTGATACCCATATTGTAGAAGTATAGAAAATGACCATTCCGCCATCTTGGATGGTCCGCCATAATGGATTTAGTGACGTCACATTATTTTTCGAATTACTCTCAACGAGCCCTTTCATTTGATACCCATATTGTAGAAGTAGATTACAAATGACCATTCCGCCATCTTGGATGGTCCGCCATATTGGATTTAGAATAACGTCATATTATTTTTCGAATTACTCTCAACGAGCCCTTTCATTTGATACCCATATTGTAAAAGTATATCAAAAATAGCTATTCCGCGCCATCTTGGATAGTCCGCCATATCGGATTTAGAATAACGTAAAACACCTTATCGTGCATTGTCATCCAAACTGAACGTGTATACAAAATTGCAGCTCAATCGGTTGAAGATTTCTACTTCAAAATTGAGTTCAAAGATTCCACCCGAACATACATACATACATCCATACAAACATACAATGCAAGTTAAATAAAAGCTTTTAATTAATAAAAATACCAGTTCATAGAAACTTTTCTCTTCAATTCAAATTTTCCGGATTAGAATCTGAATCACATCTGAAGTGATAATTATTATCAACTGATGTATATAAGTTGTATCAAATCGCTATCAGTCATCTCTGGAACTGAAGGAAACTGAATTCCGCGAAACACCTTTATTTTATGTAAAACAATATCGCGAAATCATCTATGATGTTATTATTTTTATCACTTTTTGTTTTTATTTCTCCATTTTGATTGATATCCAACTTATCGAATTGAATCTTTATCAAACATCCGATTAGATGCTCTCCAGTCTCCAGATTCGCTCGTAAAACAATTGTATGTAAGCACTTTTTTATACGTACGCGAATGATGAATCGATTCATCCACTTTTCATAAGAAAATACAGGGTGTTTCCTTCGAATAATAAGTTATTGCTACTTTTCGATAGAAGAGGCAACGCCGAAGTGCTGAAAATATCTTAGATCGATAGAACAGAACTGATCGCCAAAGAAACCCAATTTTGAAGATGATCCTATATGTCCCGTTCTCCAGAAACGTTCTATGGGCCACCGAGTTTGGAACATATATTATACACACACAAACCGAAATATAGAGAAATATGACGTTGACACGACATCCCTGCAACGTCATTAACCAGACGTCATATTTCACCCATCCAAGTGACGTTTATTCAACGTCGTAATGAAGACGTGATTATCACGTCATAGGAAGTACGTCATAGTAGCGTCAGAAATTGGTGTGTGACGCCTCTGACGAACAATCACCAAGTGGGCACCTCACAGTGACGTCATTCGTCATCTACCCAGGCAACCAAATGACGAATGATCACGTCACTGTCACGTCCCTAATTGGCGATATTTCGTCAGAGACGTCACACACCAATTTATGACGTCACTATGACGTACTTTCTATGACGTGATAATCACGTCATGGTTTCGACGTCGAGTGAACGTCACTTAGATAAGTGAAAGAAGATGTTAGTTTCGTGACGTTGCAGGAACGTCCTGTCGACGCCCAATTTTCCCAAGGATACTTATATAATATCATCAGAGGTTTGTGGTGTTTATCACACCATGTTAAAGGGAACTTTTTTACCTATCATCGCCAAATTCGATCGTCATTTTGACGTCATTTTAACGTCATTATGACGTCAATCGGACGTCACAGTTTGGTGAGTGAATGACGTCAATACGACGTGAGTAATATGACGTCATTGGGCGGTGACTCATTCACGTCATTATCACGTCAATGCGACGTCAATTACTGATGTCACCTTGGTCATTCAAGTGACGTAAAATAGACGTCACTGGAACGTCATCTGGTTGCCTGGGTAGTTGCCTGGGGGTGAATCTCACACATTATGATTTCATAGATTGGAGAATGAATTGTGTGAATGAGAGTTCAGAATTGTTTTTTCGTGAAGGATTCCTCTATTGGAGGAAATTTCTGAAATTCACTCACGCTCACTACTCTCACAATAATTGAACCTAAAAACAAAGTGATGGTCGATGCGGTGAAGAAAACACTTCTTTGACAAGACTTTTGCAAATAAGAAGAAATAAGAAGGAAAGATACAATACAATTAAAAAAATCATCCTGTTATTATACACTTGTCTCATATTTAATTGTTTAGTTGCCATTATACAGGGTGTCCGTAAATTATACGCGAAAAATCAAGGGGTGATACTGCATGAGAAAACATGAAATTCATTCCGTATACACGTGGGTCCGGAGATAGTTTTCAAGATAAACTTTGAAAAAAACTCCGTTTTTTATGAATTTCTCAAATATCCCTCCACCGATTTTCTTGAAATACGGCAATGATATTTTTTTCATGGAGGGCTGATTTACCCATAATTTAATTGGAGTTGTGAAATCCAGTGGCGTCCCGGGGGGCAATCTATCGAATATTATTGTCAATAAAATGTGCGCGACTGATTTTTTTTTGAAATTTCATGTCTTCATATTCTATTGATCAACTAAAATTACAACATTTTGGTCTTCTGAATTGTTTCAATATTATGCTTCGTTTCCGTGGGAAGAAGTAAATACCAGATGATTGTTTAAATTTTTACAAAATATTCCTTCAAGAACAGGGGTGAAAAAAATGCGTGATCCATGTCCATAGACATATAGAATAAGAATGAACATTCATTTTCTTCAAATATCTCAGGATACATGTTTAACACACTCTACACTCTGTATATTGAGAACTATGTATTCTCTGTCCAGAAAGGAGTAATTTTCAATAATACAAAGTGTGTTGATCAAACAAGTATTAGGAAATATTGGGAAAAATGAATCTTCATTCTTATTCTATGTCTATGGACATGGATCACACATTTATTTTCACCCCTGTCTTTGAAGGAATGTTTTGTACAAATTCATACAATAAATTGGAATTTATTTATTTATTTATTAAAAAAATCAATGGCGCACATTTTATTGACAATAATATTCGCTAGTTTGCCCCCGGGACGCCAATGGATTTCACAATTCCAATTGAATTATGGGTATATCAGCCCCTTATGAGAAAGAATTTCATTGCCAGATTTCACACTGTATCTTGAAAACTATGCATTTCCAGACCCTCGTGTACATGAAATGAATTTCATGTTTTCTCATACAGAATCACCCCCTTGATTTTTTGATATTATTATTCCAGAATGAAAATTTGATGCACCTGAAAATTGCTTAGTAGTTTATGTACTTATAGATAATGATGGAAAAGGATTCTGGATGTTGAAATTGGAATCCCCCCAGTGCAATCCATATTTTTATTAGATATATCAGAGGAAATAAATCTTGAAAGATATTACTTTTTATCTACAGTAAGTATTGAAAATTGCAAATCTTTATCAGCTGCTTCACATAAATGATCTAGTGATAAGTGGAAGGTGATTCTAAGCTTTGCGAAAATTCCAAATAAATACTAAGTAGAAATTATTATCATCGGCTGAATTTCCACCACTCAAAATCGATATTTTCTATTTAAACAGTTCAGTAGGAGATAACTCACAGTTTTCCCAAACAAGTCTCCTTCAAACCAAATGAAAACCTATAATATATCGAATATTGGAAAAATATTGTGAACATGTCTTTTGAAATCAATTTAGTGTTGAATTTGCTTTTTATTTCGAGTATTAGTAGGTGCAGAGATTATAATAATCTCTGGTAGGTGAGTAGATTCATTATGAACATCTGAATGGACTTACCTCAGATGCAAATATAGGGTGATTTGAAATTATGCTGAACATTTATCTGCAAGAAAATTCGATGTGTCATTTTCAGTTTTTGAATTATTTGAAGGAAACGAACACTTAATTTTCATTTTTATTTTTTCGAACGAAAACCAAAAGACCTAGACGTTTTTGACTAGGACATTCTTGAGGTCCTTTTTCACAAGGAATCTGAATCTGTCAACGTATTTTCCATGACGTTCATGATGCCAAAGTTACGACACTCAACTCTGCTTCTTCTTATGGGCGCCATATTGAATTTTTGCATTTTTAAAAAGGCTTTTTTCATTACAATCATCGAATCTTTCCTGTTGATCAAAATTGAAAAAAAAACATTTGCGAAGTGCTTTGGAAGGAACGCCAACATTTTTTTTAACAAAACTGAATTTTGACAGTTCAATTGAATATGCGAACAGAACTGTTGTCTGTCAGATATGTTCCCTGACAAGGTACACGAAAAAAAAAAAGGATTTGTTGCATCGAGAAATTATTTATGCTTGAATTATTTTTGTTGTACTGAGCAATTTTTTGTTGAATCAACCAGATACATGATTATTTCATGAACGCAGCTTGTTCTAATCATGAATCTAGTATAATTGAATCAACAGTATAATATCAAGTCCATCAACAAAATAAATGGTTTTCTCAAAAACAAATTATGTCGATCCAAAATAATGTCGATGTTGATTCAACCATGAACATTTTGTTGATTTTATGAAATAATGATCATTTTGATGAGAATATATCTTTAAAATAACATACAAGTTTTCTTATTCAGATGTAGCAATGAACTTGTTTCGAACGGATCATTTGCTTGAATAGAGCAACGAAATATGGAATATCAATGAAATATTTTGTACATTCTACATCAAGTTAAATTTTCGCCTCTAGATGGCGATCATTTCGCCTCGCCTAAGCCTGCCTCGAATTCATTATACGCGTGAAGCCAGATTCTTCGTGTTTGAAATGGCAGCTGGATAAATCGAACTTAGGATGATTAGCAATCCGAAAGAGTTTCGCATCAGCTGAAGAGAAGTAACGACTGGTGATCTATGCTAGAAGTCGACTAGTTTCCTATAGTGTAGTTTATTCTTTTGATGTGAAATTTTAGAAAATTCCCGAATTAATACTGAATTTGGTTCAACAAAACAATTTGTCGAATAGAAATACAGTTTCTCTTGAATCAACCAAATATTTCTATGAATCAACCAAATATATTTCATTGAATCAACTAAATATTCGATTGCATCATTTTGAATCAATCAGAATGATTGTTTGAGCCAATTCAATATCTCATTATAAACAATTCATGGATGTGCTTGATTGAATGAGATCCAGAGTTCATGCAAGACATATTTACCTAATTCAAATTCCAAATTCGCTCTGAAACAAGATATAGATTTACTTATATCAATATTATATTTTGTCACCTGATGCTCTCTCTCCGCTGGACTATTATTTATTGGGAACTATGAAAGATTTGATTTTCAAAACTGTACCGATCGATATTGATGAGCTGAGAAGAACCATAATCACCACTTTCAGGACTAAGATAAGGAAGGATGAGGAAACGCGTGGAATTGGGTTCGGAGTGGAAGGTGGAATATTCGAGCATCTTTTATAACTTTGTTTTGTTTTCCGAAGAATAAACTTCTAGCTCATTACGTCGTTCCGAATTCAAAACCATAGTTTTCAAGTAGATGAGCTTGACGAAAATGTGAACCTTCCAGATCCAAATTCAAATGAACTGTCGAAATTCAAAACTGCTGGCATCCTTTCCAAAGCACCTTCGCAAACATTTTTTGTTTCCAATTCTAATCAACAGAAAAGATTCGATCATATCGTGTGATATATCATTGTAATCAGAAAAAAAAAAGACTTTTCAAAAATGCGAAAATCCAATATGGCACCCGTAAGAAAAAACAAAGTTGTGTGTTGTAACTTTGGCATCAAGAACATCATGGAAAATACAATGATAGATTCAGATTCCTTGTAAAAAAGTGCTTCAAGAATGTCCAAGTCAGAAACGTCTAGGTTCTTTGGATTCCGCTTGAAAAAATAAAAACGAGAATTATAAATTTTCGTTTTCCTCCAATAATTCAAAAACAGAAAATGACACATCAAATTTTCTTGCAGATACATGTTCAGCATGAAAATGCGCAACTTCTCCCTGATTTAACCGACCTCGTATGTCTAATAATAACTGAGATCCCCATGGTGGAGCTCGAAAAACGGACACCCTGTAAGTATATTGAAATGCGTCCGGAAGATGTTCATCCTGGAATATATCCGAATCGTTCTACAATAAAATGACGAGATTTCAAACAGTTTCTACCTCTGGAAGTTCAAGGCGCAATACAGAAGAAACATTTCTCTTATCTCTTGGAGCGCGCGAAATGAAATCCCTATAATGTCCGTAGAACATCGTACCTACGGAGGATAGGGAGGGAGGGTAGGTATTGGATTTTTTGAAAAACTGGGTAGAAGATGTTTTTATGATTCATTCAGTTATACAGTTTCTCGAAATCTAAGCCTTGAACTTTTCTTTTTATGTGTGGATGGTGGAATCTATGTGTGTTCGATAGCAAAAGTTGAAATATTAGATACGTATTTTTTTGTTTTGTCTTGGAGAAACTTGTTTTCATTATACGGGGGGTCTCAAAGTTCACATACATTTCTAGGTTTTATATTTTATATATTAAATTGCTGTTTATCTGAATATCAGATGATTTAACACTGAGTGTCACTGTGTTTAAAAATTTCAATATTAGGAAACCTCAGAGGAAGATTCAAAGCTAACAATAAATTTGACACTTCTTCATACAGTCTCTTCGAGAAAGTTGAAATCGTTTGAAGGAAACTTATACTCGAATTCCACTAGGGTGTTAAGTTTTGCTTGCAAGCAAAAGTTGATTTTTTTCATTTCTATCGCTGAAAATAGGCTTATCTGATAACATTTCAGAAAAGTTCACTGTAAAAAGTTGTTTCTATTCCGATTTCACAAATGACACTGTTTTTCAAAGTTGAACGTTCCATTGTACCTTTTAGCTTTCGATATTTTTTAATTTGAACGAGATTTCTGTAACAATAAAGGAATTGTTACTTGGACAAAACTGTCCTTAACTCAAACTTGTTGGAAACGTGTAGTTGATCGATAATTGATTGATGACTTTGACATCATTTTAGTATTGAAATGATCAATTTAAATACATTTCGCGCCTGAGTGCTATAGACGATGCATCAACTTTGCAGGATAGAGCTACTAGTATGAAAACAGTTTTGTTGGAGATACAATTTTTTCAATATTACACTAATTTCTAAGAAATCAAAAAAATATCAAGACCTAGACGTTGCAATGAATCATTCAAATTTGAGGGAAAATGCTAAAATCAGAATAAAGACAACTTTTCTCAGTATAGATTTGAACATTTTTGAAGTTCAAACAAAATGAATTAGCCAATTATCAGCGATTTATTTGAAAAATATAACTCTTTACATGAAGTTGGATTCAAGTGACGAGTAGGCCATTTTCCTCATTTTTTTTAAGGAAAACAACGCCCAAGTCGAATTTCGGAATGAATTATCATTAAAAGTGTTTTTTTCATGACGCCAACTTTCTGAATTACCCTGTACATCTATGTTCCCTTTTCTCAAAATATTTCTCAAACAATATGTAACTGAATTTCGATTCATACTTTCTGATTGTAACAATTTTAAACGCAGTGACAGTTCGGGGCAAATCATAAATATAGAAATAATGCTCATATTATTATTTTTAATATAGTCAGCTAACCATAATCGTGGCCAATATTTCAATAGATAAAATTTCACGTTTTCGCAATTACTTTACTCATTAAATGGTGAAAGTGGAAATGTCTTACGGAATTGACGGAAAAATATGATATGCTTTAAAAGCATTATTCAGATTTTCTGACAGACGGATAAACAGTCTGTCATTGATAACATCACCCACCTATTTGGAAAATAAACGCTAAAAATTATTTTGTAAAATATTGTTTTCGCCCGACATAATATGATAATAACGTATATGATTAGAAAGCAAAAACACTCCGTTTTTACTGAACCATAGCCAAACTATGATTCTCATTAAAGTTGTAAAAATGCAACATTCGGCCGAAACTGAAGTCTAAAAAGCACCTTAATTTTTCGAATTTCGATTATACAGAAGAAAAATGCATCAAGAATGTGGAACCTATTCTCACATTGTGTCTAAAAGTCTATACTATTCGAATTTTTGTTTTTAACTCGTGTGAACAAAAGACGTTTGCAATTTTTTTGCGTCAGTAAATTCCACACGAAAAGAGAAATCGATTCTGTCACTTCAATTCTTTTCAATCATCTATAATTCGTCCTGATTATAGACCCCCGTATTTTTTGATGGGATTGTATTGGTACTTACCTTCCAAACCATATTCGGGTCGGCAAAATGGAGAAAAAGTTGCATCAAGTCAATTATACCAACCTTGAGTTGCGTATCAGGAAGCACCATCTAGCAGTGAAAACTAGAACTAGAACATATCATCAATGATAGACAATACGGCTTTCGCCACCGAAGATCTACTGGAGATCTACTTGCGTACGTCACCCATTTATGGCAAGCTTCATTACAAAAATACGGAGAATCTCTAGCTGTCGCGTTGGACATATCGAAAGCATTTGACCGTGTTTGGCACGAAGGACTCCTCCACAAACTACCATCTAACGGCTTACCACCTCAGCTATGCCATCTCTTATCGAGTTTTCTTTCAGGCAGATCGCTTCACGTGGTGGTGGACGGTGTATCGTCTGATACCATTGGCATCAATTCCGGCGTTCCACAAGGATCAATTTTGGCACCAACATTATTCCTTCTTCATATCAATGATCTGTTGGGAGTAACAACCCCCATCCACAGCTTTGCAGATGATAGTACCCTCCTCCTGTATTTTCTCTAGAAAGGCGGAACTCAGTATGCCCGATATTGTAATGTCTGGCACCACCATCCCCACAAAGCCCACCATATCTATGCTCGGTATTTCCATCAGCAACACTCTTTCATGGGATAAACATGTCAGATCCATCGCAAAAGCTGCTTCACAAAAACTCGGATTCTTGTTCCGTGCGAAAAGCTACTTTACACCTCAACAGCTTCTCATGATCCACACAGCGCAGATACGGCCTGTTCCCACATATGGGGTTCAGCACCGAAACATACGCTGATGCTCTTGGATTCCATCCAGAGAAGAGCCATCCGCCACACTCACTCACTCTATCACATCATTGGAACACCGTAAAAAGGTCGGCGACCTTTCACTTTTTTATCGATACTTCCACGGGAAATGTTCTTCGGAAATCTCTACTATCATCCCTCCACTAGCAATACCAGTCAGACGAACTAGACAAGCCCAGTCAGCACATCCTTTCGTTGTCAACTTCGGAAGATGTCGAACAGCACTTTATCAAAACTCCTTCATCCATAGAACGGCTAGGCTCTGGAATTCATTGCCTGAGGAAGTATTCCCAACAACATATAATCTCCAGAAGTTCAAAAAAAATTCCAATACCTACCTCTTGTCCCAATCCTCCCTAGGAACGCACGATGTTCTTTGAACATTATAGGGATTTCCTTTCGTGCGCTACAAGCGATTAAAAAAAAGAAATACATTATTGTGATAGATGTAGTTTGGACACCAATGGAGCCTATACATTGTTGATTTCTACTCATTATAGTAGCACAAAATCACTACGAAAATTCGGTAGAACTGGCAACCCTGCCGTTTTGCATGGTCCACAAGATCACCGGACCTGACGGTCCCGGATTTTTTTCTGTGAGGAGTTTAACGAGGCGTAACCGAGTTAAAAAAATAGTCGAGATTACCAAAGAATTTCGCGCTCGAGTTGCAAACAACATTTTTTCTACAAACGTGAAAAAATATAGTTCTAGAGTGAAAATATGCTTAGCTTGATATGAAAAATGGTGTTAAACTGGCTTGAAAGGCCTCCCCCTATCCTCCCTAGGTACGCACGATGTTCCACGAACATAATAGGAATTTCCTTTCGTGCGCTCCAAGAGATAAAACAAAGTTATGGCTGAACATTCAGCAATGAATGAATTCGTGAATGTTTGCTCGATTGAGGACCATTAAGTTGGAATAAAAATATCTCATATATTTTACATAACAATGCGCGAAGTAGGTACTTCGCGTACTGTTTTACTTCGCGCATTGTTATGAGCAAGGTATCATGGTAACGTAGGAAACTGAAGAAAAGTGTCACTTCGCAATTTGTTATCAATGCGCGAACCTTGTCATTTTTTGACGTAATTAGTATTTTTCTACAAACGTCAAAAAATGACAAGGTTCGCGCATTGATTTCAAATTGCGGAGTGACACTTTTTTCAGTTTCCTACGTTACCATAATACCTTGCACAAAACAATGCGCAAAGTAAAACAGTGCGCGAAGTACCTACTTCGCGCATTGTTATATAAAATATATGAGATATTTTTATTTCAACTTCATGGTCATAAATCGAGCAAATCCACGAAATCATTTATTTCTGAATGTTCAATAATAACTTGGTTTTATCTCTTGGAGCGCACGAAAGGAAATTCCTATTATGTTCGTGGAACATCGTGCGTACTTAGGGAGGATAGGAGGAGGTCTTTTGAGGCAGTTCAACACTATTTTTTTTATCAAACTGAGCATATTTTTACTTTAGAACTATATTTTTTGACGTTTGTAGAAAAAATGTTGTTTGCAACTCGAGCGCGAAATACTTTGGTCATCTCGACTAATTTTTTAACTCGGCAACGCCTCGTTAAAAAAATCAGATCTCGATCACCAAAGTAGCATTTCGCGCTCTAGATACAAAAATAACTATTATGTCAGTGGTTGACGATGGTAGTTCTGTAACTCGTCTAAAATGATTCAAAATTTCTCAAATAGTCATCATCATTCAATAGATCACCCCAGTGGCCCCTGACGGTTCATGCAAAGCCCCTTGTTCCAGCTCTGCCATCGAAAACCGAGCACCCCACAGCCCCCGCAGGTTCCCCGAGGGCTTCCAATTCGGCGCCGCGACGGCCTCCTACCAAATAGAGGGCGCCTGGGACGCCGACGGCAAGGGAGAAGGGGTGTGGGACCGCTTCACCCACGAGGATCCTACTAGGGTGCAGAACCAGGAAAATGGGGATGTGGCTTGTGATTCCTACCACAAGTACAAGGAGGATGTCAGATTGGCGGCCGAGATGGGGTTGCACCACTACAGGTTCTCTATATCTTGGCCAAGGTGAGTGCGAAGCAGCTTTGCAAACCTGCGCCGAACAAAGAATTCCCAAAAACTCATAACTTCCAGAATTTGAAGAAAAATCCAATACCAATTCGATAGATCATCATCGCCTTTGAAAACGTTCTGATTTGGGTATGTTTATTGATGAAGATTAATCTGCATTATCACAAAAAAAATTTTTTTTTCTCCGATTGGCAGCAAATATTAATTTTGCTGACACATATCAATCAGCAAAGTATTACTTTTCCTGCCTAGGCAGCAAAGTGGTTACTTTGCTGATTGATATGTATCAGCAAAATTAATTATCCATAAATCGTTTATAATTTCCTTCATATTTCATTCGAGACTTCTGCGGCAACAAATTCAACTCTATATTTTTTGCCACCTCCCTTATTTCTGGAGGTGGTCGCTATCTGTCCATTATATAATAATTTAATTATACCGATATTTTTTCGGACATATGTCAGAATTTTCATGAATTGTCAACCTATAATTATCATGGACAACTGCGATTTCTATCAAATTTCATTTTAATTGAACACTACAGAAAAAATAAAGAGATTGTGGGAATTGTAATAACTTGCAATTACAATATCCACCTATATCATTATGAACAATCGGAGAAAAAATTATATGTTCAACTCGGCAGCAAAGTAGATTGACTGCCTTAGCTGAATTCCTAACCTCGCTACACTCGGCTATATGAATTCAGCCTATCGGCAGTCAATCTACTACTTTGCTGCCTAGTTCAACAAATAATTGGTAAACAACTAGAATCTTATTAATCGAATGCTTATACCGTACACCATTTTTCAACATAGAACTTATCATGCAATGGTTTTTTTTCGATTTTTAGTTACCTACGGGTATTCGTCTAAAAAACACGAATTTGATAATGAAAATATGAACAAACCACTAATTATCAAGATATTCCACGAACATAATCCGAAAGTTCACCTTTTTATATGGCCTGTCTTGGATACTGCCACTCACAAAGATCATTTTGTTTCACGGCACATTCGAATATTTGCAAAGAGAGCATTTTTCTCTTGGTGACAAATGCGTTGCGACCTGATTAAATCTATTTTGCCCCTTCTTCTTCTGCTATCTCAAGGTTTTCTTGTTTATAATAGCCACCTAAGCTGCAATCCTTCTAGGAATTTGATGATTCTGAAAAGAGCATCGAGTTCTACTGAAACCTAGTGACATAATACCTGAAATACGGTATAAAATCAGTGGCGTGAAATAATAATCACCATGAATATCGACAAGGTCACCCACTGCGACGCCACTGGAAATATAATTCGAATTTAATCACCGAGTTTTATTGAAACACAAAAGACTTTTGAGTAATTAACTTGTCATCTGGAAAACTAAGCAAGAACATTTTTGATGAGCTTGCGAAATATAAAAATATGTTGAACGTCCCAACCCATTCATTGCATTCTCGCGCAGTGACCTCAAGCAAGCATCAACAAAACATTATCCTTGTTGCAGGATCCTTCCTACTGGCTATGAGCACAAAATTAACGAAAAGGGCTTCCAGTACTACCAAAACCTAGTATCGGAATGTCTGGAATACGGCATTCAACCGGTGGCCACCCTCTGCTATCCAAGACTGTGGCAGCTTCATGAATCCGGACTCCGTTCCTCTGTTCGTCAACTACGCTCGAATAGTATTTCAATACACTCCTTTGCCTGTCCCATTTCTGGCGAGTTGTTCTCCTATTCTGGAGATTTGGTTTGCATCCATGATTTTATGGTTATCTTTTGTATAACTTTCGCGATACCACCAGAGGGTTCTGGACCAACCAGAACTTTTTACTTGCTTGGGCTAGTGCATCTGCTCCTTCGTTGCTCTCGTACCCTGTATGTGCTGGTACCTATATATGCAAAATTCAGTCTGTTCTGACTGCCCAGTTCACTCGTTCCTGAGCAGTCCCAGACCAGTTTCAAAACCTGCATTGAGTTGACTGCTTTGATTGCCGCCTGGATATCCGAGTAGATTGCAATTTTTTGCTGTGTGAACTCATGCCTTATCAAAACTTTCACGCAATGATATACTGCTACACTTTCTGTCTGTAACACCGTCATGTATTAACCTCTATTAGACTCCGTGAGATTCTTTTTCTTGGCTTGGCCATATATATACCAGCTCCCGACCATTCCTCAGTTTTGGAACCGGCCGTGTGGACAGCAATGTTTGCATTGATAGGAGGTTCTTCCTTTAGTGCTCATCTATCCGTTATACTCATTCTGGAAGTTTCATCGAATCTATATTTTGAAATTATGCCATCTGTTGTCATACCCATGATAGGGTAGTTTTCCAACTCTTCACATAGAGTTTTATAGTTTCTACCGTGCGTATTGTTTATGGGTGCTTGAGATCTGCACAGTCTGTTTACGACTGCTCTGGCCTCTGGCAACGGGAAGTACATTCAGTACTATCTAAACCTAGTAGCAGAATTCCTGAAATACGGCATTCAACCAGTGGCCACCCTCTACCACTGGGACACGCCTGTCACCATCCAAGACTGGGCGGCTTCATGAATCCGAACACCATTCCTCTGTTCGTCAACATCGTCGAGATAACTTTTTGATAAACAACTTTGTCTGTCTCATTCCTGGCGAGTTGTTTCCCCCTTCTTCAGATTTGGTTTGCAAATCATATTTGCATCATTTGTAATACCACAAAAGGGTTCTGGACCTTTCAGAACTTTACTTACTCCTACTAGGGCTAGTGAATTCGCTTCTTCATTGTCCTTGTATGTGCTTGCACCCATGCTAAAGTCAGTCTGTTCTGACTTCCCAATTCATTCAGGGTTACTTAGCAGTCACAGACCAGTTTCAAGTTGACTTGTATTGAGTTGACTTCTTTTATTGCCGTCTTGCTATCCGAGTAGATGGCAATGGATTTCCGTGTGAACTGTTGCCCTATCATAACTTTTACGCAATGATGTATTGCTTCACTTTCTGTCTGAAACACCGTAACGTACTCACCTCTATTAGGGTCAGTGAGATTCTTGTCCTTGGCTTGGTCCCATAAATACCACTTCCCGACTATTCCTCAGTTTTGGAACCGGTCGGGTAGACAGCAATGTTTGCATCGATAGGAGGTTCTTTCTTTAGAGCTTATCTGTCCGTTATATACTCATTCTGGAAGTTTCATCAAAGCTATATTTTGAAATTATGCCATCTGTTGTCATTCCCGTGATAGGGTTGTTTTCCAACTCTCAACTTGCTACTCAAAACCTAGTAGCAGAATGCCTGGAATACGGCATTCAACCGGTGGCTACCATCAACCACTGGGACATGCCTGTCACCATCCAAGACTGGGGCGACTTCATGACTTCCGGACATCGTTCCTCTGTTCGTCAACTGCGTCGAGATAGTTTTTTAATAAACACCTCTGTCTGTCTCATTCCTGGCGAGTTGTTTCCCCATTCTTGAGATTTGGTTTGCATCCATGCTAATCATTTGTATAGCTTCCGCAATACCACAAAAGTGCCCTGGACCATTCAGAACTTCACTTGCCCCTACTAGGAGTAGTGAATTTGCAGTCCCAGACAAGTTTCGAGTTAACTTGCATTGAGTTGACTGCTTTGATTGCCGTCTTGCTATTTGAATAGATTGCAATGGTTTTTCCGTGTGAACTCTTGCCTTATCAAAACGCAATGATGTATTGCATCGCCACGTTTTTACCTCTTTAAGGCTCAGTGAGATTCTTGTCCTTGGCTTGGCTCCATAAATACTAGCTCCCGACCATTCCTCAGTTTGGAACCGCCCGTGTAGACAGCAATGTATGCATTGATAAGAGGTCCTCCATTTCGTGCTCATCTCTCCGTCATATTCATGAGAGTTTTATCGAAGCTATATTCCGAAATCATGTCATCCGTTGTCATTTCCATGATATGGTAGTTTTCCAACTCTTCACATAGAGTTTCATAGTTTCTACCGTGCCTATAGCTTATGGGTGCACTGCACAGTCTGTCCACGACTGCTCTGGCCTCATGCAATAATCATCAACAAAACATAATCCTCGTTGCAGGATCCTCCCTACTGGCTACGAGCACAAGATAAACGAAAAGGGCATCCAGTACTACCAAAACCTAGTAGCAGAATGCCTGAAATACGGCATTCAACCGGTGGCAACCCTCTACCACTGGGACATGCCTGTCACCATCCAAGACTGGGGCGGCTTCATGAATCCGGACATCGTTCCTCTCTTCGTCAACTACGCCCGGATAGCCATCCGGAGTCTTCCGGGCGTGGCCAACTGGATGACGATGAACGAGCCAAAGCTGATCTGCACGAGGGGGTACGGGGAGGGGGCTTTCGCTCCGGGGGTGAAGAACACGGGGTTCGGGGAGTACCGATGCGCGTATGTGCTGCTCAAGGCTCACGCTGCTATCTATCGCATGTACAAAAAGGAGTTTCCGCATTACAAAGGTGGGTAATAGATATTCACCTCGATATTCACCTTATAAGTGCAGGAAGTAGTAATTTTCCGCATGCGACAGCAGTTACACGAACGACGCGAAGCGGAGTTTTGGCAAGTCTTCAACGGCGGAGAAGACATTTTCCGTAAGAGTTAGGTGCAATGATTTTCCTAAGAGTGTTTTTGCTTATATCATTCATGAATAAGAGGCTTCGAATGATAGTACATTATACAACTAGAGAATAAAGTGGTATTTTGAATCCCTAGACAGAGAGTTTGTAACTTGACCAATGGAAGGGATATGATTTGTCGTGGGATTTGAAAACACTTTAGTCCTGAGATGTTTATACTAATTTTTGCATTTAAGGATAGGTGAAACTTGTTACCATATCAACTACCTCAGTATATAACTATGGTGATCCAGATTTTGCGGAAAAAGTGCTACTTCAAATCCCTAGGAATTCAATGTACCATTTTTTTCCCGAAAAAACGGAATGAAGGTACCCTTCAAACCCTTGAAGTGCATAAACAATATTTTATAATGATGCTAAAAAATTACACATAAGGCAGAATAGTTACATGTATCATTTAGTTAGTCCTGCATTTTCTAATTCTCAAGAATACAACAATCGTAACTTTCCAGCACTAGTGCGGTAAAGTAACTTTTTCACACGACTTCATATGAATTTTCAATTTCTCATTTATATGATATAATTCCGAATATGAAAAAAATAAAATCATCTAGGTGATATACAATTGAAATAAAAAACTGGATATTACACTCTTCAAGGAATATATTTGCTAATCTTATTGATATTCAAATACTATATATAGAATATTGAGAGTCAGAATATCAATTATATTATATAATAATAGGAAATATAAATAGGAAATATGAATATAAAAGAATGGAAACAAGAATGGATGAATAATAAATAAAATTACTTGTGTCTTGAAGTGAAATGAAATATGTATTTCGATAATATTGATTAATTCGTATTTGTATTCAACAAGCCTTACAACAAATTACACTTCGGAAGGTTTTTCTTTAGTTTATCAAATACACTATATGTAAATGAATAACTCTTATTATAGAAAATATTCTTTGAATAAACTCATTTATTATTATTATTATTATTAGACCATGTGACTCCAGCCTGTAGGTAATACATTCCTTTGAACATATGGAACATTTGTAACGATAGTTTTTTTTTAGCACCAATGTCCATCGTCTTAGACGGTGAATGGAATGAACCAGCATCGAATAAAACTGAGGATATCGAAGCAGCTCAAAGAAGAAACCAATTCGAGGTGAGATATACAAACAGTGTTCCGTTTCCAGCGTAACTACCCTCGTAATAGAATAAAAGATTTGAAAATTTTTGTTTTCTAAATGTAGTACTCAAAGAGATATATCAGATAGTCCATAGATTGAGTTTGATTTAACATTTCATATGTTTCCGAGTAGTAAATTCAGAAGAGAAAAATTTGAGGGTAGTTACACTAAACGAGGGGCACACTGTAGGATATTAGTAAGAGAAGCTACTTGAGCCCATGTTCAGTATTCAGGAATCAGAATCACACCTAGCTCCTGACATTCACCATTGAAATTATTATCTTGAAAAATTTGTTATATTTGTCAGCACATAAAGTGAATATCCCACCAATTGCTCTTAAAAAATGTGCTCCCGAACTAACACCTGTTCTCTGCAAGTTGTTCAACTACTCTTACAAATTGGGGATATTCATGCCCAACTGGAAAATTGCAAGAGTACAACCAGTTCCCAAAAAAGGCAAAAAGATTCTACCTAGCAACTATAGACCGATCGCACTGCTATCTAATATCTCAAAGATCATGGAGAAAGCTATCAACATCGAGCTCATGAAATACCTGGAACATTCAGGTATTATCAACGATAGGCAATATGGCTTCCGTCATCAGAGATCAACTGGTGACCTGCTCGCTTTCGTCCCACATATATGGCAGCAATCTATTGAAAAATATGGTGAAACCTCAGCCGTGGCACATGCTATCTCCAAGGCATTCGATCGAGTCTTGCACCACGGACTCCTCGCCAAGCTTCCATCTTATGGCTTGCCTCCCCAGCTATGTTCTCTACTAGCTAGTTTTCTCTCAGACAGGTCCCTCCATGTAGTGGTCGACGGAGTTTCATCTGACTCTCTTATCATAAATGCTGGTGTTCCGCAAGGATTAATTTTAGCACCAACACTATTTCTACTCCATATCAACGATTTGTTGAAAGCAACTTCTTGTCCAGTACACAGCTTCGCGGATGATAGTACCTCCATACCGCCTTCTCTTCCAGGGCTCCAATACCAGCCAGGCAAATCAGAAACGAACGAGGGAGGAATGTTGACAACATAAATATGGACTTGGCAACAATTCTCGAATGGGGATTCAATAACTTGGTAGATTTCAATGCTAACAAAACGAAAGCATGCCTTTTTTCTAGAAAAGTCGATCTCACTGTGCCCAACATAAGCTTGTCGGGAGTAAACATACCTTTGAAGACATCCATTTCGATGCTTGGTATTACTATCAGCAATAACCCTTCTTGGGAAAATCACGTGAGAACAATTATTGCTAAAAGTGCATCACAAAAACTTCTGTTTCGGGCCAAGAGCTATTCCACTTCAAGTCAGCTGTTTATGATCTATAATGCACAGATCCGACTTGTCCTGGAATACTGTTCCCATATTTGGGGTGCAGCACCCAAACACACCCTACTGTTGGATTCTGTCCAAAAAAGGGCGATTCGTCTCGTGGGTGATGCCTTGCTCACAATCTCACTCACTTCTCTGGAACACCGTGAAAAAGTTGGCGATCTGGCTCTACTTTATAGATATTTACATGGACGATGCTCTTCTGAAAGATCAACAATTGTTCCTACCTTGGCAGTCCTCGCGAGATTAACCCGACGAGTTGAGGCTTCGCACCCCTTCGTGGTCACTTTGGAGACCTGCAGAACATCTCTTCCCAAAGACTCGTACATCCAACGAACAGCAAGGCTCTGGAACATATGGCCAAGGAAGGTATTTCCAGAGCCATATAACCTCCAGAAATTTAAGAAGAACACCAATTCCTCTACCTTATTTCCCTTGGTTCTCACGATGTTCTCTCAACATAACAGGATATCCCTTTTCGTGGGAACCAGATCATAAAACAGAACAAAAAAATCTCTCAGTTTCGATCATCGTGCTCTCATTTCTAGATTGAACTGAACACATTTCCCTATACCGTGAACTTCCGCTTGGAGTATGCTTGGGAATTTGTCGAATGTGACGTTTTTGTGAAGAACGTTTGATTGATTTTCAGTTCGGCATGTACGCCAACCCGATCTTCAACGGCGACTGGCCCCAAGAACTCATCGACAGGGTGGAGGAACGAAGCAAGATGGAGAAGTTCCTGCAATCTCGCCTGCCGAAATTCACCCGCAAAGAAATCGAATTCATCAAAGGCACTTGGGACTACATGGGCTTCAACACTTATTGGACCAATCTGGTGGCTGACGACGAAGAACCGCCTTATGACAGTCCTCCTAGCTACATTAATGATATCAGAGGGAAGTTGAGCAAAGATCCAAGCTGGAAGGTGGCACCTTGCGGATTTAACGTGAGCATCATTGTAGTTTACACTTCAATGGGATTTTTTTATTTTATTAATTCATTTTCAAAATAACATACATATCAGCGTAGAAAGGTCGGCGACCTTTCACTTTTCTATCGATACTTCCACGGGAAATGTTCTTCGGAAATCTCTGCAATCATCCCTTCACTAGCAATACCAATCAGACGAACTAGACAAGCCCAGTCAGCACATCCTTTCGTTGTCAACCTCGAAAGATGTCGAACAGCACTTTATCAGGACTCCTTCATCCATAGAACGGCTAGGCTCTGGAATTCATTGCCTGTGGAAGTATTCCCAACAACATATAATCTCCAAAAATTCAAAAAAAATTCCAATACCTACCTCCTGTCCCTATGCTCCCTAGGAACGCACGATGTTCTTTGAACATTATAGGGATTTTTTTCGTGCGCTCCAATCGATAAAAAAAAACTATAATAATAAATATATAAATTTTTTTCTGATATAAACATGATAAACAATTTTTTTTCCTTCCACTGACTATCTAAAATTCATTTCATCTTCCAATTTCGAGTGTAATTAACATAATGAATACATTTTTATATTATCTAAAGATAACTATAAAAAACATGATATTTTGCGAAATATAATCAAATTTCAAAAATTTCTGAATTCTCAATCAACCACGATTTATTTTTTTTTTATCAAAAAACCTGATTTTTTTTTAAAGAAGGATGCAATTTATTGTAAATTCCACCTTCATCAATGACATGTTGTTGCATTGAATTTGTAGAGAATTTTTCAGTTGACATCCAACCACCAATTTTTTTCACATGATTATAGTTTTGTAAATGTTTTCTTATGTATATTGTTGATGTTTTAATAAATAATTGATCAACAGATAAAATGTGATAATGTTCAACGAGGATTTTGGAAGAGTAATCAAAAGGTTTTTTGATGATAATTTTCAAGGTATATTTTTGAATTGATATAAGTGGTTTCAACGCTTGTTTATATAGACGTCCCCAGCCTATTATGCAATGAGCCAGAATAGATTGAAAAAGACTATAATAGAAACTGATAATCAAATTCCTACTGACAATGTTCCTCAGTAACCTGAATTCATAGTGTGTTCTCCTTTGGTTTCGTATTCATTCATTTGTTTATATGCCATTTGAGCTTGCAATCTAAGTGAATTCCCAAATACTTTACTACATCAATTTTTGTAATATATTCGGTACGATTAAATTTCTTTTTATTTTTCAAACATGGAATAGAATGTATCTCCAATTCATCAATTCTTTTTGACTGATGCACATTCTCATTGAAAGTGAATGTCATAAAATTCGATTTTTTCAAATCAAGAGTCACTAAATGATGATCAAGATTGATTTTTATAATTGTTGAATCGAATTCAGCATTTGATACTGTTTCTTCCCATCAAGTATCTCCACTACCTATATACACTGTATCGACGGTATAAGAAAATAAATATCCTTTTATCTTTGTTTTCAATATATCATTTATGTATATTAAAAATAGAATAGGTCCTAAAACTGCCCCTTGAGGGACACCACATTGTATATTTATTGTGTTACTTCGAACTTGCTCGATCTGAACATTTTGTTTCCTTTCAGATGAATTACTTTCGAAAATTTTCAAGCCTATTCATCTAATACCAAGCCGTTCCAATTCTGATAATGATTTCATATCTGAAACAGTATCGAATGCTTCCTTCAAATCTGGAACTGTTCCAATAGTTTCTCGTGTATTATCCGAGGATTTATAAATACACTCAGTTCCAAAAATAAAGTGACGCACTCGATATTATATAAAAGAAAATAATAGGCCGATTTATATTTCGTTTTTATTTGACGGTAGGTAATGCATTTGTCTTAAAAAAAAATGAAGACGTGAAATTTTTTTCAAAGCCTCCTTGATGGTGGTGGAATAACTCGAACCATGATTTATTCTTAATTTTTGACTCACCCTGTGTGTTAGCAACTAATTTGTTGTATGCCTCCATATTTGACCGTTTGTCGTTGTGTCATTAATTAAGTGTCTTGTTTTATTGAATAAAATTACATAAAATGCCTCAAATAAATCCTGAACAAGTAGCAAGATTAGTTGTGTTAGTAAACGATGGGCGTAGTAAACGTTACGCCGCTCGTGCAGTGGGAATTCATGAAGCAACTGCTCGTAGAGCAATCCGCAAGTACGAACAAACAGAAAGCACCGGTCGGAGGGTCGGTTCTGGTCGCCCCCGAAAAACTTCTTCAAGAGTTGATCGCTTCTTGAGATTGTGGATTTTACGGAATCGATCAAATACTGCGGTAAATGTTCAGCAAGATCTTCGCCAAATTCGTGATGTTGCAGTAAGTAAGCAGACGGTATGTAGACGTCTAAAAGAAGTTAATTTAAAAGCTAGGAGACCTGCAAAAGGTCCCAAATTATTGCCCGAACATCGTGCTGCTAGAAGAAATTTTGTTGAAAATTATGGACAGTGGAAATTCCTGAATGGTCGAATGTCTTGTTTACGGATGAGTCAAGGTTTTGCCTTAACATGGTGCATGGAAGAAAAAGAGTGTGGAGAAGAACTGGTGAACGGTTTAATCAAAATTTAATAACATAATGCGAAAGTTTCAATGGTGGGTCCGTTATGGTGTGGGGAGGGATTTCAATGAATGGAAAGACACCCCTTCATGTTTTTCCGTTGAGGCAGTTGATGAATGCCCAAATTTACATTGACAGTTTAGAGCAGTATGTCTTACCGTATGCAGAGTTAGTGGGCAATGATTTTATATTGATGCAGGATAATGCCCGACCACACACCGCAGCAATAGTGCAAAACTTCTTATGAGCTACTGGTATCACCACATTACAATGGCCTGCGTGTAGCCCCGATATGAATCCTATAGAACATTTGTGGGATGAATTAGGGAGAAGGGTACGTTCTCGCGAGAGGTCTCCGGAAAGTCTCGTAGAAATGGCAGATGCATTAGTGGAAGAATGGGATCGTATACCAATGGAAACGATAATAAACTTGATTTCCAGTATGCCTCATAGATTAGAAGTTCTTAGAGTTGCTAGAAGAGGCAATACACGGTATTAAGCAGTCATCCCAATTTATAGTTTTGTGTTTAATGAAAATGTTTTTTAAAATTATCGGTATCAGTATATTTCATTAAAAAATTGTTTCTTGATAAATTCAGAAAGTTGGTAATCTGCAAGGATTCAGCAAAAAAGCTGTAATTCGGAAAATTTTAGAGATAAATCAATGAATAAAAAAACAAGATGCTCGCAGAAGAAGCCTCTTCCGTATAGGGTGTATGCACTTTGTATACCATTACTCAATTAACACACAGGATGAGTCAAATATTAAGAATGAATCATGGTTCGAGTTATTCCACCACCATCAAGGAGGCTTTGAAAAAATGTTCACCTCTATTTTTTTTCAAGGAAAAATGCATTAACTACAAAAAAATAAAAAAAATCGGCTTACTATTTTTTTTTTGAGAAAATAGGTCAAATATCAAGTGCGTCACTTTTTTTGGAACTGAGTGTAGTTGTTAGAGAGGTTATTTCATTGTATTGGTGTATTGTGTTGGTGTGAGGTGTATACATTGTATGTCTGAGTTGAAATACATGCACTGGTAAATTTTATTGTAAAATAAATTTTTTTCCAGATGGTACCATGGGGTGCAAGAAAGATGTTGAAGTGGGTCAAGGACACCTACAACAACCCACCAATTTTCATTTCTGAAAACGGTGTTTGTGACGATGGAACGTCTCTGGTTGACTACGATAGAATCACATTTTTCCAAGTAAGGTGCCATAATGGATTATTTCATATTATGCAGTTATTCAATAATCCTTACAGACATTAAGACGAATTTTGTTTTTCTTTCACTGGCTATGAAACCTATACCATTATTTACTCCTTTCCGAGGCGTAAAATGTGTTTTTACTACCAATGTAGTTTTCGTCGTTTAATGAACTACTATTCAATAAAGACATTCATAGAAGTGGCACTCGAATCTAGTAGTTATTTACGAGGTTATTTATCGATAACGACTTATAATATTGTCACGAGTGGGTCTAACGCCCACTATCGCAACTCGAACTTACTCGCTTGCAAGAGGTTTTTTTGAAAATGATAACAAAATAATTTAACTCCACTTCACAAGTTTATTCATTTTGAATAAAAACAATTAGGGCATGAAATAAATTGACCGATAATTATCCAGCAAGATACATCCAACTCAAATCAAAACAAAACAGGAAAACTAAAACTAGTAATACTAAAAAAAAAGTACTTACAGAAGGGCTCGCTTTTCGTTGGAGGATTGGAACCGCCACTGCGCCACTCACGAAGTTTAGACATGATGCAAAGTTTGAGATTTACTTTCTATTAGAATATTTGAAAATACTTTACGGTCCACTGTCCGAACCACAACTGCCGGTTTTTTCTCTGATACTTCTTCATCTCGGTTTTGGTAGTGGTAATTGATTCAGCATAAAAACTAGTGTATTCACCTCGATTAGGAAAAATCCAAAACCAGCAGTTTCTGCCCGTCAGCGACTCTACTTGTATAATAATAAAATTGAAATCCGAACTTTAATTTCCTATGAATATCGTAATTCTCTACTGATATCCTGTAAGCTAAATAATTCTAAGAATATGATCTAGACTAGGTTATTGTACTGTTCTTGAATGAAATGAGAATTTCAAATATTCTCAATAAAATTTTAGTTTTTATCCATTCTTGACAATATGCTGTCATGGTCATGTCTATTAGATTTTAATTAGAATAATTGAATATAAGTGATTCCATATAGTGATCACAGTATCATATTTCAGTTTCACAGTTTCACATAATATCATTGAATGATATTGCTAGTGATGAAAACAATTTCATATACACCGTGGTAGTGAAGGAATATCTCAATACCATGGGATCTTATACCCCTCGACTGAAGCCTCTGGATATAATCTTGTTCCCTGGGTTATACTCATATTCTTTACTACTTTGGTGTATAAATAGCTTCAAGTTCAACAATTTCGAATGTATCCTGCTACTCAAGAATGCAGGTGAAATACGAACATGAATCATCAATAATTATTCTGGATTCACTATCCAGATGTAAAATTATGCAGTGTTCTTTGTTTTGTTCTAAGATAACATGAATATATACTTTTTCTACAAACGTCAAAAAATGACAAGGTTCGCGCTTGATAACAAATTGCGAAGTGACACTTTTTTTCAGTTTCCTACGTTACCATGATACCCTTGCACAAAACAATGCGCGAAGTAAAACAGTGCGCGAAGTACGTACTTCGCGCATTGTTATGTAAAATATATGAGATATTTATACTTCAACTTTATGGTCCTCAATCGAGCAAACATCCACGGAATCATTTATTTCTGAATGTTCGAAAATAACTTTGTTTTATCTCTTGGAGCGCACGAAAGGAAATTCCTATTATGTTCGTGGAACATCGTGCGTACCTAGGGAGGATAGGGGGAGGAATTTTGAGCCAGTTCAACACTATTTTTGATATCAAGCTAAGCATATTTTTACTTTAGAACTATATTTTTTGACGTTTGTAGAGAAAAATGTTGTTTGCAACTCGAGCGCGAAATACTTTGGTCATCTCGACTATTTTTTTAACTTGGTCACGCCAAATCAGATCTCGATCACCAAAGTAGCATTTCGCGTTCTAAATACAAAAATAACATATAAAAACTCTTCTGTACCGTAACCTCTTTTATCTATAATTATACATATTACTGTTTTCCATAATTCCATCATGACATAGGTACTTATCGTGAACAAAGTTTTCTTCCATATTCAACAATTTCAACTGCTCATCATTTGTTTTCAGGACTATCTAAGCGAGATTTTGAATGCAATATACAAAGATGGAGTCAACATTTACGCTTTTACAGCATGGAGTCTCATAGATAACTTCGAATGGATAACTGGTTATAGGTAAATATTTTTTGGAACGACTGAGGAACAGGATGATGGTGAGAATTCGACCCTCATCATTGAAATCTTGTAAACCGTGAGAGATATAGGGTCGGTTATATCATGGTTAAGTTACGCAATTTTATGCCTAACAAAATGCCGTTTCGAATATTGAAAAAAATCCGAATACTTTCGGAGATATACGAAAAAACCAGACCTGGATATTCTACTTAATTTCATCACTACTTTGATATACCAAATGCTAAGAGAAATCACAAATTCTCAGTTTCAGATGTTTCCTTTACAAAAAACATTGCACTTGTTTTGACTAGAGTTCCTAACTGTACTTGACACTGCTGTTTTGACGTTTTTTGTATATTAGAGTACGAACACTATGACAAGCACTGACAATCAGACATAACCACAAATAAATTGATGGAAAAAGCGGGAACTGACAGTACACGGACGTACATGACATATATTTCAAAGGTTTAACAAATTGAGAGAATCAGGATAAAGAGAAAGTTTTTGCACTTTCCAACTGTGAGAACACGGCGGGAAATCAATTCACTGTATTCGAATTTCCATCGGATAACGTAGGTAATTCTACAGAAATGGAAACAGAATATGATGGAATGTAGGTTTAGGCCACATTTGCGAGGTATTCAAATTTTTCGGTAGGATATAGAATATTTTTCAGCGCATTTTTATCAGGTACCCTTCAAAACGGAAGTTTGTTGAAGAAGAGGATCGTATTGAGAGAAAGAGCCGAACCCACAATTCAAAAACTGAGCGAGTATCGAAAAGAACCTTTTCCGTCGACCTCGTATCAACGACTAAGTTTAATGTATATGAAATCGTTCATTAATGACCCCTATTAATGAACGATTTGTCTATTAATGTACGATTGTTTTATAGGCAACCAAACATACACCGCGTGCATTCATTGTTTATGCTATAACTTACGGAATCTGCATTTATATCGAAAATATGGATTTCATTGAAGATTTTCTGTTAACGGGTTCACCTTTCCAAGTTTCTGACACGATTTTAATCCCTGTTTTCTAACACAAGGCATTTATTTTCTATGTTGATCATTTCGACAAATGTCAAATGACACTAATGTCAGTGACAAGGCTACTGGGTGATTCTTGGCAGTTTCCAGATGAATGATGAATTCGCGAACCAAGTTTTCTTCATTGCAGTAGAAATGAGAAATATAGTGGACGGAAAAATTTTGTAACCAACTTGTATATTAAAAGGCGATTAATGATCTCGAACATTAACGCGCTCGCTTCGCTCGCACGTTAAAATATCTCGATCATTAATCGCCCTCATTAATAAACTAGTTGGTTAAATAACTATATTCCAATTTAGAAACAACAAGAAACGAAAAACTTGCAGATGATGAAATTCATTTAACATATTTTGAAAGAAAAAGACTTGTGGATCGAATTTTTAGAGCAGGAATATCCAAAAATCCAAGGTTCACGAGTGGAAGAGAGTGATGAATTCAGGAAACAAAGAAACAGAGAAAGATATATATGGATGTATCCTTCCTAGGACTTGTGGAGGAAGGAAGATGCGAGGATCCTTTATTTAAGCGAAAAACATATTCTTGTCCTTGTCTGGCAAAACATATGATTTACTTCAAAATCGTTTGTGGTTATGTTTGATTGTCACTGCTTGTCTTGTGTCCGTTCTCTGATATACAAAAAAGTCAAAACAGCAGTGTCAAGTACATTCAGGAACTCCAGTGTTGACCTGTTGGACTCGAATATATGAAAATATACAAGGTGTTCCATTTGAAAAAACAAAGTTGCTGGCATCTCCAGAAAAACCGGAAGTGTGCCATATTGGATTTTAATGTGATCAAATCCGAAATGATTGCTCATTTAATTGTAACTGTTTCAGAAAAATCCGTTCACGAATTCAGAATTTACATGAGTGGTGCGATACCCTGAGTCACCCGGTATAGGAATACGTACCTACCGACACTCTGTATATGATCACGGCAAATAATGTTATCCTGGCCACTGTGACTGAGTTTACTAATAATGTGATTGAAATAAATGTACAGTGTCACTCAATACATAATCGTCGAGACCTTACATATACGGGTGATTGATTATTAAAAATAGAACTTTGGAATGAAAACAACTAGGCATTGTGTATTCGAGTTTGGACAAAAATATATTTTATTTATACAACATGAAATCCCTGTCTATTATATTTTTTTCATAAGGAATTATCTTTTATCCGAACAGATACTAATGGTGTGATAGTTCAAACAAATACTGTCTGTAGGTTGATCAATGAGTTGAAAAAATCAGTGCTCTAGATATTTGACACTTCTCAGTGATAGAAATTATCACAAAACAATGTGTGTGTTACAGGATGTTTTCCTGATAATTGATCTTGAATTTATCATTTTCACACTCAGATTTCAGAAGTGAATGGGGATTATTTCCATGCAGATTATTTCCAAGAAATTAACTACTTTTAGTTCGTCACGCCAATCCTGTTTGTATTGTAGAACTTCTTATTAGGCTGAAAATGGTCTTTTCTGAGACCGCGTTTTCCAAAGTATTCATGTTACGTTCCTAATGTGATCTTGTTCCAAGAATATTCCAGAGAACCTCAATGGGATTTGAATCCGGGCTCCGAGGTGGCCTTGCCACGGTAGTGATACAGACTTCCTCTAGATGATTTCTCACAACTCAGACGACGTGGGGCCTGGCATTATCTTGCATCAACAAAAATCTTTACACTACAGGTTGTCCGGAAATTATGCGCAAAAAATCAAGGTGATTCTAAATGATGAAATGAGACATTCATTTTATATGTACGTGGGTCTAGAAATGCATAGTTTTCAATATACAGTGTGTTGAAATTCATGACAAAGTATCGGTTTCTTATTAATATCTCGAATGTCCTTCCAGCGATTGCCTTGAAATTTGGCAGATATAGCCATAATTCAATTGGAATTATAAAATCCACTAGTACTAAAAGTAATTCTTGCATCTATATCCTTTGCAGACGATAGTACCTTCCATACTGCGTTCTCTTCCAGAATTCCCATTTCTTCCCAGGAAACTAAGAATTCACGGCGCAGGCAGGTCAATGCTGTCAATGGAGACCCTGAAATCACAGCCTGGGGAACCAACAACCTAGTTGAATTCAACGCGCCACCAAAACTCAAGCCAGTATTTTCTCTAGAAAGGCGGAACTCAGTATGCCCGATAATTTAATGTCTGGCACCACCATCCCCACCAAGCCCACCATGCCCACCATATCTATGCTCGGTATTTCCATCAGCAACACTCTTTCATGGGAAAAACTCGGATTCTTGCTCCGTGCGAAAAGCTACTTTACATCTCAACAGCTTCCCAGCAAACATGATTGAGCGGTAAATAGGCGGCCGATTGCTGGTAACTGCGGTTAGTTGTCGGCAGCGGCACACCTATGTCGTTAAAATGTTGAAACGACATCGGTTTTGCCGCCATGGCTGAACGTACGCATGTTTATAATGGATGTTTGTTATTCAGCCAGAAATTGCCCGTTTAAAATTCCCGACAATCGTGCCGATGTCGCTTTGACGCAGTATGTATGTTGTTTACAGGTCAGTGGTAACTGAACCAAACGCAATGTTGGCATCACTGGGTTTTTGAGCATTACTGCTAATTTATTTTCGTGTTTTAGTTCTGTGTCCGTAGATCGCGTCAGTTGTCTGTCACTTGTCTTCAGGTATTTGTTAAACGGCGTGATAATATTAATATTATTTAGAAAAAGTTGGTGAGTTTTATGATTGATCCCAGCAAACTATCGTCCGACATCAAGAATAATGATATATGTTATATAACAATAATTAAACTCGTTATTGTCTACCAATCCATTTTTGTGGTAATGATTTTGAGCTAAATATTATTTGTTCATTACCCTATATTATAACAATGATGCTCCAATGCGAAGTTCAGCTCTTTACCTATATTCGAAAAATATTTGATTCACAGTAATAGATCAAATACTGGAAAAGTAATGTGGCTAGAACATTATCAGACTAAACCTATTCTACGTCGTCGAATCAACAAGTTATGATAGGTATATCGTATATGATCAAATATCAAATATAATTGAAGTATTGTACTATTTCAATTCTGTTGACTGATGGATTCGTAATAGTATCTTTCAAGTTTCGCAGTAGCCTAGTGGTATAAGCGTCTGACAGTTGATTGGATATCCGTTCGATCGCAAGTTCGAGTCCGACTCCCGACTATATCTTTTTTTTATTTCTAACCGAATAGTGTCGGTAGATAGTCGGGCGGCCTACTAGCGGCCGGTGCGACACGGGCTAGCCGGGCCGACGATGTATCATGATTGTGGCCCGCTGATGTTGACTGTCGGCAGTTTTTGGAGGGCGTCTAAAGGCCCGCGCGATACATGTTTGCTGGGTTCCCATGATCTACAGAGCGCAGATACGGCGTGATCTAGAATACTGTTCCCACATATGGGGTTCAGCATCACAAAATACGCTGATGCTCTTAGATTTCATTCAGAGAAGAGCCATTCGCCTGGTGGGTGACGCCACACTCACTCACTCTTTGACATCATTGGAACACTGTAGAAAGGTCAGCGACCTTTCACTTTTCTATCGATACTTCCACGGGAAATGTTCTTCGGAAATCTCTGCTATCATCCCTTCACTACCAATACCAGTCAGACGAACTAGACAAGCCCAGTCAGCACATCCTTTCGTTGTCAACCTCGAAGATGTCGAACAGCACTTTATCAAAACTCCTTCCTCCATAGAACGGCTAGGCTCTGGATTTCATTGCCTGAGGAAGTATTCCCAACAACATATAATCTCCAGAAGTTCAAGAAAATTCCAATACCTATATACCTTCTGTCCCTATCGTCCCTAGGAACGCACGATGTTATTTGAACATTATAGGAATTTCCTTTCGTGCGCTCCAAGCGATAAAAAAATATCCTAAGTCAATACTGATTGACTGATGATGGGCCTGAAACATGTTCCTTTACGATTGATTTCTGATCATTTTGGTAAATGTTGTGGAGATGACTTTGGATAGATAGATAGATAGATAGATAGATAGCGCCTTCCGTGACGTTAGTTTACCCAACGGGCTTATAGAAGTGAAAACTTCAAAAACCCAAAAATCTGAAGAAATGATCTCAACGATTTTGGGGGATAATTATTATACTCACAAAAAGTGAACTTCCACTTGAAAGAATCGAATTTCATGATAACTATTCCAATTTTCTTCTTCTTGTGGCACTTTTAAGAATATGTTAATGATTAATCTTTTTCAGCATAGAATTTCATGATAACTATTCTCATTATCTTCTTCTTGTGGTACTTTCGGGAATATTTCAATAATTATTGATCTTTTTCAGTGCGCATTATGGATTCTATCACATCGACTTCAATGATCCTGAGAGAAAACGCACACCCAAAAAATCTGTGAGGTATTTCAGCGACATCTGTAAGACTGGGAAGCTGCCTAGACGTGAAGATTTAATATCATATTTGGATTAATTGTAGGAACCTATTGTCGAATATAAATATCAATAAATGATTTGGAGTTTTTGAATCAACAATGTTGCCAAACTTGCACCGTATTAACAGATACATTCTCGACTGTTCGATAGTAGTAGTAAAAGTGTTTTGTTGTTTTTCATACAATAACTAGCTGTTCAGCCACTCCCGTATGGGAATTTCAGTTTTGGAGTGATTATTTCCTTCTGTTCTTCTCAGATGGCGTTGCTTTCATATTGTCGATGAAAGACGCCTCTGGAGGAATACAATGCCCACTTGATTTTTGTTTGGCTAGGCTACGCCGAGTCGGCGGCCTTAGGACTGCTGGCTGGATACTACCCTGCACTGATGAGAGTCAAAAAGCTCGAAACCGGTCTGTGGGTGTCTAGCGTGGCCTGGCTGAATCAAAATCAATAGGCATTCAGAAAAGAATCACTTGTATCAGTATTCGTTTATACGAGTCGATGCATAGATTTCGCGAGGACGTGCGTGGCATTCGCCAGGAAAGTAGTTGTTTTTTTCCCGAAATCTACCATCGTTGTTAATTTTATGAACATGGTGTGGAAATGACTCAGAGCCATTTGAATTTATTCAAATAATATAATATTCTTTTGTAGTTTTTCTCCATTTATCTGTGCTTATCTAAAGCTACTATTATATACTAACACCTATTTTCATTCTCAGAGTATCTGTTATATTTTTCTTGTTGTTTTATGCATTAAAAATTTCTACCCATTCGGTCAAGCCATTTAGTAGTTAACCTACCGAAAGCAGCGCCACCTACCAAAATCGAAATACCCTTATGAAATTCCAACCCAACCGGTTCAGCCGTTTAGAAAGTTATGTGAAAAAAAGATTATTACGGAGGGGATAATTTTTACTACCCGTTCTCCTATTACTCGTTTTCGCGTGGGATTGAAGCATTTTTCTACAGTTCATCAGGAATAATATCGTCTTCTAATGATGCGAAATTTTTTTGAATCAGCCCAGTATATTCGGTGCCTATTCAATACAAACAAACGAACAATCATATCTTTCATCTCTTCAATATTAGCACAGATTTTCAACTTTATTTTAGTTTGGCTAACTATCGAAGCCTCATTGGATCAGCTATCTTGAATTTTCTAATTCCGATGGGAAAATTATCATCCCCGACCCCGAAAATTACCAGATACCAAAAATTATGAACAGAATCGAATTAGGATTATGAAACTCATCCACCATATTGGATCCGCCATCTTTGAGTTTCCTGATTTTATTGAAGGAGTCATAGACGATTCCAAAAACTTCTAGTTACCAATTTTGAAATGAATCGGATTATAATTACAAAACTCTTCCGCCACATTGGATCCGTCATATTGAATTTCCAAATTTTAAAGAAGAAATCATAATCTCTGTCCCCGAAAACCCCCAAAGAATAGAATCGAAACCTGATCACAAAACTCGTTCGCCAATCGCCATATTACCAATTTCGAATAGAATCGGATCATAATCACAAAACCCGCCATATTGGTTCCGCCATCTTGAATTCCGGGATAAAAAGTATTTTATGTCCGTCTCATGGTTCTAAGCTACCTGTCTGCCAATTTTCAGCCAAATAGGTCCAATAGTTTTGGAGTCTACTCAATACAAACAAACAAAGCTTTCGTCTTTATAATATTAGTATTGACGATAATTCTTCGAATGATTTTGAAACGAGACTGTAATGAAAGTAGATACAATTTCCCTTATTACTTTTGCCGAAAAACAGATTTGTTACCGAATATACAAAAACGTCTTTTTGACTATGCGTCATATCAAATCAGGTTTATTGGTTTTAGTAATCTGTTGAAGTCTGGGGCTTCCCATGTTTCCACAACTTCACTATTTTTGAACATTCATATTATCATCCTAAGATACGACGAAAGTAATTTAATGTTGGATTTCCATATTAATTTCCATATGCAAGTGTCAATTACTGTGAATTATATTTCAACAATAATATGTAAATGTATACATGAAAATTAAAAATTTGATGGTAGGTAGAGAATACTACTTGACATAGAAAGTGGACAAAAACTAAAATACCCATTAGGTATAGCTGAAGAAAATTTTATTTTATTGATTATTATTAATTTCATCAGCAGACACTTCTTGAAGATTCTCGATATAATATCTCTATGGGATACATGTTTATATCTGTACATTGTACAATAATCAAAATCATTGAACTGATGGTTCCTGATCATCAACAACAAGAATAGCTTTATTTTAAAAGAAACCAGGACTTCAGAATTCCGTACCGAACAAAGCACGAGGGTTACCAAGAATGTTAGAGACAAACTCCTAAATTCGAAAAATAAGGAGTATAAAAACTAATGTTTTGTTTGATACAAAAATGAACCTTTGAAATGATCATGATGCTTCCAATTCTGAAACTACAAAATTGCCAGGATTCTCAGTAGTATTACTATAAGTACTTCAAAATATTCGGGTTATACAGTGATAGCATAGTGCATGAATACAAAGAGTGTCAATTTAACAGATTCTGTTAAACTTACACGATTTGTAATTGTGCAGGAAGTTTGAGTTGTATAACCTTGAAGATTTTGAAGTTCGAATTGTATTCCATGCTATTATTTTCTTGAGTAGTATTGAACGAACGTCAAAATTTGGCGACTTGCTTTATTTGTATGTAATCATATAAAGTGGATACTGTGGAAATGAAAATAATTCTAAATTTCTGATTGATGGAACTACCCACTCTATGTATATCCACGTATATTCACAATTATACAAGGTAGCTTAGCTCAATTGAAAGTTCTGATTTGTTTAAAATCATACGAGGAAAATAATCACTTGTAATGCCTACCACTAGAGGTCAAATTATTTCCGGAAATTTTTTCGAGCTCATGGATATTTTCAAAATTAATCCGAGTCATAGACGAGGGATAATACTCGAAATATTTTGAGACGTCAAAATATTATTTTGTTATTTAAACGTCATACAAAAATTTCCGATTTCATACGCTGGTGGGTACCCACGAGAACAAAATTTCCACTAAAATACATACGTTGCTATGGTAATTCGTCATGGAAACCCAATTTAACTGTATAAAAATCACTGTTCTTAATATGTTACTGGTCAGATCAACTATAGATTTAGAGATCCGCTGAGCCTCAGCTGGACAGAGGTTCCCTTGTTTGGTACAGTTTGAAAATGGAAGAAGGGGTAGGCGCGGGTGTATATGGACCCGGATGTAGGCTATTTGGAGCCTTAGGTCACTCCCCCCATATCTTCCAAGCTGAAATACATGCCATACATACTTTGCGCCCAAAGGTGCCTGAGCAAAGGTCTGAGGGGTGCCAACATATATATCTGCTCAGACAGCCAAGCCGCACTAAAAGCCCTAAAATCATTCGTTTTCACAACAAAGATTACATGGGACTGCTTTGAAACACTCATGCAACTGGGAAAGGGCAACAAAGTCACACTTATGTGGGTTCCAGGGCATGAAGGAATCAAAGGAAATGGGGCAGCTGATCGCCTTGCAAAAAAAGGTGCAGCATCTGCACTTTTTGGTCCTGGGCCTTTCTGTGGGATAAGCAAATGTCACCTAAAGGGAGAACTCGGGAAATGGGAAGGAATTGAAAAGTCCTCCTACTGGAGAGCAACTCCAGGTCAACGACAAGCGAAAAGGGTCATCAACCATTCGCAGAACCGATCCAAAGAGCTACTCAGCGTCAGCAAACCAGAGCTAAAGCTTATCACAGGCTTTCTCACAGGACACGGTCCTCTGAGGTACGACCTCAAAAAGATGGCTGAACCACCTAGAACAGGTCTATCTCACCCCTGCTGAAGTGGAAAAGTCAACCGTCAGGAAAATCGTAGGCTTCATCAGAAGTCTAGGTTTAGAGGACCAAAACTAGATAGGGGTAATCACAATAGATCTTCTAGGTCGCAGTGATCGAGAGGTCTCTCAGCCTATACGACCCATCTACAATCTACAATCTACATCTACAAGAGATCCACTTGCCTACGTCACCCATATACAGTGAGGAAGTAAAAAGTCTCCCCCTTCATTTAACTTTTGAACAAAACGAGCTAACGCCAAGCTACCAACTTGGAAATGTTTGGAGTCAGTCACGTGGCATAGTATCAAGAGGGCACCATCAACTTTTTTTTCAGAATGGGGTCACGTGGTACATGGTTTTGGAGGCCTCTATCCAACACCACTTCGTTTGTGCATATTCTAACAATGAATAAAAATACGAAATAACTTTCGATTGCAACACAATTTCAAGTAACAATTTGAGAGAAGTGTTCGAAAAGCCACGAAATATTCACCGTTCACTTCTAGACATGAAAAAAAAGTTTCGGAATTCATTCCGTACGATATTTCATCCAAACGCTTGTCAGTTTGAAACGGCTCGGCCGGTTTGCACAAAAGAGCGGTGTTGCATAGACTATTTCACTCATCTTATAATTCGCACATAATCCGACCAATCACATTCGAAGACAACTTGTATTATCGCGAGAGCACTAGCTGTCTTTCAATTCTGGTAAGTCTCTCAGCATTACTGTTTTCAACATTGTAATTATGAATAGTGGAGCAAAGTCTGTCAGTTTGACATAAAATAATTATAACTGTAGATATCAGTATGAATGGATCTGGTTACATGGCATGTTCAATGATATTACTGGAATACTGTTACCATAATAATATTTGGAGTGCAGCACCCAAACATACCCTGAAACTGTTGGATTTTGTCCAAAAAAGGGCAATTCGTCTCGTGGGGGATGCCTCGCTCACGAACTCACTCACTTCGGTGGAACACCGAAGAAAAGTTGTCAATCTGGCTCTATTTTATAAATTTTTTTCTAGGACGATGCTCTCCTGGAATATCAACAATTCTTCCTCCCTTGGCAGTCCCCGAGAGATTAATCCGTCGAGTTGAGGCTCCGCACCCCTTCGTGGTCACTTTGGAGACCTGCAGAACATCACTTTCCAAAGACTCGTTCGTTCTGGAACACATTGCCAAGAGAGGTGTTCCCCGAGGCATATGATCTCCAGAAATTTAGGAAGAACACCAATTCCTACCCCATTTC